ACTCGAAAGTTTTAAGGGGGCATGAGTTTGTATCTCTGTTGTTGTTTTCCTGTAGGTATTGAAGCTGGGATGGAGCCAGCTTTGAATCTCAAAGTACTAAATTGACATCCTGGTTGAATGTATCTTGTTATAGAGCTGTCATTTGTTCATGACATCATTGTGCTAGAATTTAATTTCTGGTTTAATGGATTCAGGGATATATAATTGGCAATCCATCTACAAATGCTAAAGAGGATTTTAATTCGAGAATTGAATATGCTCATCGTTTGGCACTTATATCAGATAGAGTATATGAGGTGTGTATGTTGCTCTTGGTTTTCTTTTAGGTGCTGGATGTTCCTTGTAAGATGTTTGTGGGTTTTGGTCAACTATATACACCAAGATGTTTTAGCGGATATCTCTCTTATTCTTATAAGAGTCAAATGAAAAATAGAATTTCTTAAGTTTTACTGTTTTTTTTCTTCTTCTTTCAAGTCATCAAAAAGGAATTGCAAGGGCGAGTACGTAGATGTAGATCCAAAAAATCAGTTGTGCCTCAACAGTCTCCAAGCTTTCAAGGAGGTATGTAGTATCAGCATGGTCAATTAGCATTCCGGGTGCTAGCTGCTAAGTTCACCAAATTTTGTTCAGCAGCATAATGATGTGTCAGTGTTTTACTGATTTAAATCTGGGCTCACTCTGAGGATCATTTACTTTCAACAAGTAGGATATTGATATGTACACTGAAGCACCATTTGGTGAATAGGGTACTTCTCAGAAGGGCCCCTATTTATAAGAGAAATTTATACATATATGATATGTTTTGTTGGTGAATTGCACAATCTTGATTCACAATCTCACGATGTAACATACATACATGTCAGATATATAACAAAAACATCATTACTCTCTATAATATATGGTGTGTATACATACACACGCACACTACATGTTTTTGTTCTCTGTTTTATGGAGTTCCTTGATTATTGAGTATGCAGTGCACTAGGAGACTTGATACAGAACATATACTGGCACCTTTCTGCGGAAAGGACTATTATAACGAGTGGACAATATTAAAGACGAATGACAGGGAGTCTATGGATGATGTTTTCCTAGATTTTCCCTCCCCTCTCCAACTGTGTCGGGTATCTCTCTCTCTCTCTCTCTCTCTCTCTCTCTCTCTAAGACAGAGAGAAGTATTAAAGAGTAACAAATTTACTAGCTGAAGGGTTTTTTTAGGAAGACAGGATTCGCTATGCAGTTCTTTGGCAAAATGATATAAATGTTCGCAAAGCTCTCAACATCCGGGAGGTATGTAATATATACATATAAATAAATGTTACTTCTAATTATTTATATATATTTTTTGGATTTACTTCAAATTAATCAAACAGAATATATGAAACTGTGGCCAATTTCGAAAAAAATTACATTTACCATGATCACAACCAGGGAACAAAAGGAGAATGGGCTAAATGCAATAAAACCACACCTTACACGTTTGATGTACCAAGTAGTGTTGACTACCATCGAAACCTCAGCCAAAAGCACCTTCGTGCTATAGTTTACAGGTACAAATTTAAATTGTTCAATTTGATTCTTCATGTTTCACCTCTCCTTTTAAATTAATCTAATTTCAACCAACCTTGAAGAATCAAGCCTAGAATTAGCCAGTAGCTAGTCACACAAAAAATAAATAAACATCGTCGTACTTTTCTCATAATTTCGTGTGTTTATATGGTGTTTCTGCAGTGGTGATCATGACATAACCATTCCATATATAAGTACACTGGCATGGATTGAATCCTTGAACTTGACACTTGAGGATGATTGGAAACCGTGGTTCTCTGATCATCAAGTTGCAGGGTTTGTAGTTGTTTTCATGATTTTTTTGTTGGATTTTTATTTTTGGGGTTAGGAATTTCAATGTTTAATACTAACTTTGATCTTTTGTTCTCGTTTTTCATTGATTCATTTTACAGATACACAATGTACTATTCAAACAACGAGTATAATTTGACATATGCGACTATAAAGGCATGAGTGATGGCTTCTGAGTTTATTGATCTTCTCTTTGAAGTAAGTCTAATAATCACGTATGATGTAATAAATAATTCCCAGTTGCAAATGTGCAGGGAGGAGGACATACAGCTCCAGAGTACAATCCTAAGGAATGCTTTGATATGATCAATAGGTGGCTGGCGCATTCTCCTCTTTAACCTATTATACTAAATTAGAAAAAATTACTGCATTATACATATGTAATGTGTCACTGTAACTAAAAGTACATGATCACTTATCTGAGTATATTTAATATACAACCTTCAACATGAATACGCGAAAGTGTATGAAAGTTGAGGTGGCATTATTTGCATGCGTGAACCTTGTATGGCAACATTGTTCGCTAAGAATCAATCAGGTGTGAGATTTTATCACAAAATGTCGGTCTATTAAATTATTTCATCACAAACCTCTATTTTTGTTGGGAAAATTTTAGTGACATACATTATGAATATGGTAGTTGGACACCGCATTAATGTGCTTTTAAGAAATTGAAAGCAACCACTTCGTGGACATGTGGCCAATTTCGAAAAAAATTACATTTACCATGATCACAAACAGGGAACAAAAGGAGAATGGGCCATGAGCATATTAGCAAATCCAACCCAGAACAGTAGAGCTGAGAAATATCAAAGGGACAATTAATAAATGGAAAAGAAAAGGGACAAATTATAAAGGGGGTCCTTGCATCATAATCGATCATGAACGTTTCACCAAATTTATTAATGTTATCGGACCCTCATGTGGAGTCACTTCATAGTTTCAAGAACACACCAAACTTTCTGCTATAGGCCTTTCATGGCTAACTATTCCCGCTGCTGAAGCCTAATATATATGCTGAATATTACCGCAGCTTGCTACATAAGCATGGCCATGTTGCCACAAGCACTACTTCTTCTAGTCCTTCTTTTTCACATTGGTTTTGCATCAAGCTCGTCCATCATTAGCACCCTACCAGGATTTTCCGGCGACCTCCCCTTCAAACTTGAAACTGGGTTTGTATATTTGAACTTCAACTTCTATACTCTATAACTACATTTTTAGTCTTGCCTTGTGCGCTAGACTATATATCTGATGGTAATTGATCCTCTTAAGTACATTTATTATATACTTTGGTCAGATTGATCAGTTACAAAAAAAAAAAAAAAGATCAGCTACCAAATGGGTACATGAGGCATAGTTTGTAATTAGTTTCGGTTCGTGAGGTGCGTTTGTTTTTATTTGTTATGCTTCTGCAGGTAATGAAGAAGGGGATGAGCCACCAATGAATCTCAAAGTACATGTTTTGCCTTTAGATTTGGAATCATTTCTAATCCTTTGTAGTCAACTAATTCATAGTTGTTATGGATCCTTAGGGATATGTGCTTGGCAACCCAGCGGTAGATAATTTACGTAGTGATAATCATGCTGTACCATTTTGCTACCTAAAAGCACTAATATCAGATGACCTATACCAGGTGAGTACACTTTGGTTTGTTTGTTTAGGTTTCATATGCATGTAATGTAAGGATTGGATTGTGGCGCTTCCCATCATTTTGAACTATTGTGTCATACATCCTTGTGAACTTGCTATAAATTGTTGGCATAATGCCAGACATCTTAAGTTTTAACATGGTATTAGAGCCTTCTGTGCAAGTGATGCTGAGTTTGGTCCCTCTTCTCCATTTCATTGTTGGTTTGTAGGGTGCAGGGTGGGCTGGACTTATATGTTTGTCTTTCTCTGCTATTAGTTGCCTCTTCACGTGCAGGGCATCTTGCACGTGAGGGAGTATGTAAGCTTGATATACATCAATTGTTGATACATTCCTTCACAACTGAAGCTTTTGGGGCTAGTGATTAATTCCACTGCAAAGCCAACATCACAACTATTTTTTATTTTTTATTTTTCCTGTTAAAATTTATAATCTCTTAAGTATCACTCAGTTTTTTAAACTCCAGTACTGGCCTCATTTTCTTTGCCTCTCTTTTTATAGAAATGTTGCATACACAAGTTGAGGAATTTGAAAGGGACAGAAGCTAAAAGGAAAATAAAATTCCCAAAATATTGAAACATATTCATATTATTACTAGGCTAAACAAACAAAGTATGTGCTCTGTTTTCTCTGCTTTTTGTGTAGTCTGGGGGCCAAATCACAAAAGTAGAAACTAGAGAGCAACTAACCTCGCCCAAGAGCCTTAAAACAGGGGAGGGAGTGACACATTATATTTCAGGTTGCCAACATAATATTTCTAGACGCACCGGTGGGTACAGGATTCTCATATGCAAAAAAGTGGGAGGGATATAGCAATCTCATTCACACATTATCAGCTGCACAAACATATGAATTTCTTAGAAAGGCGAGGAGAAAACACTTGCCTACACGGTTAATGCATATAGCAGATGGACAAATAAAGCAAAAATTTAGTTTCATGAGGCATTGATTTTAATTTACTTTTATTTTTATGTAGGTAATCATAATGAACATGTGCCACCAATGAATCTCAAAGTACAATTTCTGCCACTTCATTTTGAATGTGTTCTGTTTTGGGCCTAATGTTCTATATATATTGGCTGAAGGGATATGTGTTCTGTTGGGCATGATAGACATAACACATGTGATCAAGTGATGGGAAATGATGACACCCGACATTCCCTGGCCGAAGTCCAACATGCTCAATGATCTCTACCGTGATTGGTGGATGATATTTGTATATTGTTTGTCCATATCTCATGGGAGACCAACTTCGCCGACGGATGGGTGACCTAACTACGAGAACAAAAATGCAACAAAAATATTACAGGCATGAAAGTGAAAATTCAGATCAACTCCAAAAACTAACGTTGCAACTTGGTTTAGGGCAAGATCACGTTTGTTAAGGAAATTATTTATTACTCACCTAACATTCTCTCCAGTCACTTCGTATTACTACTTTAAAAAATAATATATTATTCTACTTATTAAAAAACATAGCCTGCTAATCCTAGTGCACGTACTGTTACAGCTCCAACCTCACCATGTTTCCGCAAGCACTTCTTCTGCTCCTCCTTCATTGTTGTCACATCGTTGCTTCATCATCCATCATCAACACCCTACCGGGTTTTTCCGGCAACCTCCCCTTCAAACTTGAAACCGGGTTGGTATTTCTTTGTTTTTGTTTTTGTTTTTAAATCGGGGTCTTGTTTTCACATCTATATAGAGGTGTCCTTATGTGTTCTCCTCTCTCAGTTTAGTTGTTCATCTCGATTCTCTTTCATGCTTTGCCGTGAATGAAAGGATATTTCTATGGTATATGGTACTAATTAATTAATTAAATTTTTTTTGGGTTCCCTCTATGAATTATACTCTATATCAATTAATACGTACCAATTGCAATGCTGAGAACGAAAATTATGATTTAAATTATATAAAGGTACGTTGGGGTGGGCAATTTGGATGATATTCAGTTGTTTTATTTCTTCATCGAGTCGGAGAGAAGTCCCAAGGAAGATCCTTTACTGCTTTGGCTCAGCGGAGGTCCTGGTTGCTCTTCTTTTACTGCCATGGTATACGACAGTATAGGTACATTATTATCTCAAGTCTTTATATCGTATCCCTCCACTTATATTATATGATCAACAATTCTCATTCACAGTCTGACAACAAATCAAAAAATTACTCCATATATTGCTGCACCGCGTCCAGAATTATTTTGAAACTGTACAAAACCATTAGTTGGATTTTGACTGGAAGGTAGCTATCTGTAGGTCAGTGTACAGTAACATCAAAGAATTAATGGTTGTTATCATATAACAATTTGATAACCTCATCTGTTTTTCTTTTTTCTTTTTTTGGATTGGAACAAGACATCGTTGATCTCCATCCAACATGCACAAAGAATTTGTGATTATCCTATAAAGGATATATCAATTGACTTTGCATTTGATAAAAATACTTTTGGTAGGTCCATTAATTTTCAACTACGCAAATTCTAGTGGGAACGAACCAACATTTTTGTTGAATCCATACGCATGGACAAAGGTAAGATAAGAGAGAAACCTACTGCTAATTCATTTATGATTTGTCAATAACTTGACCCCAAATGCATATTGAAAAATGTTCAGATTGCCAACGTAATATTTTTGGATCAACCTGTTGGTACTGGATATTCCTACGCAAAAAGTTGGGAAGAATACCGGACCGGTGATACATTATCAAGTTCTCAGACCTATGAATTTCTAAGGAAGGTGAAAATTTGGCAAAGTAATTTACAAAGGTTTGAAAATTACATTGTTAAATCTCATTAATTAATTTATTAATTCTTGTGATGTATATAATGGTGCTGCAGTGGCTTAAAGATCACCCTCGATTTCTGAAAAATCCACTATATATTGCTGGTGATTCATATTCAGGCATAACCGTTCCCATCGTTGCTCAACAAGTATCCAACGGTAACTTTTGTTGGGAATGAAAACCTTTTCAGTTGTTTCACTAAATGGTTATCAAATGAGTCCTAAATTTATTTGACCTAAATTATGAGAAGTCTCCTAAATCTGAACTGTTGTAGGTAACGAAGCCGGGCATGAACCACCAATGAATCTCAAAGTAAGATTTCAATCTGATTTTAAATTTGAGATACTTGTCTTCCCCTTCAGTCCTCGTTTGCCCTTCTCCTTTTGTGTGCGTTCGTTTGGGCTCTTACGGTTGTTTTCTGCAAATTTGATTTTAGCTTGTAATCCTAATATAGCTCATTACAATCTTTTTTTTTTTTTTTCTGCTTTCTGTAATGAACTTTTGCTTTTTGTGCTGTCTTTCGGTCTTAGTCCCTGGTTCTTAACTATTTTACGAGGCCAGGACAAGACAAATGGAAATGGATTTTGACTTACGTATCAATAGTCTCATGTTGAAACTCTCATACCACCTTGAAAGTTTGTATGAGAAAACTCATCCCCTCCTTCCTAACTTTAGAAGAAAAAAAAAATCATTTTAATGTGTGATTGGAGTAATATATTTTTCTTACCAAAGAAAAACCTCGTAATTATGAGCCCTTAGTACAAAATGTAATGATTATAATGCATAAGTAAAATGTGACATTCATACCAAAAAGTTTGAATTCTTCCTCCGTCTATATCACTCGGATCCGGAGAAAAAAAAGTACATTCAAACATAGAATTTTTTTTCTTTTGGGGGGAGTATTTACCACATGTTTAATATCAAGTAAAGAAACATTATTGTCTTGGATAACTAAATGTTGTTTGATTGAACTCAGGGTTACGTGCTTGGCAACCCATGGACAGAACCAACATATGACGTGAACTCACGAATTAAATATGCTCATCGCATGGCACTCATATCCAATGAACTCTATGAGGTATAAATATGTTTTCTTGTTTATCTGTTGATTTTCTTAAACTTTGAAGAAAGAAGAGCGAGAGTTGTATTCCTACTGCAAAAAAAAAAAAAAAAAAAAAAAAAAAAAAAAAAAGGAAGTGCTCAATTAATTTTCGTACAAATCATGTAGCAAAAAAAAAAAAAATTAATGCTTAATTTGAGAGCTAATCTCTTCGTATTATATATATATATATATATTTATATATAGTCAACTAAAACAAATTGCAAGGGAGAGTATGTTCAAGTAGATCCAAGCAATGCACCTTGTGTGGAAAACCTCCAAGAAGTCAATGAGGTGAGAATTACTACAATGTCCTTGGTTTGCGTTTATTATATATTAAAGTGTGATACTGAATATCGATTTACCACTTAACAAATTTGCAGTGCATCCAAAAGATAAATCTTGCACAAATATTGGAGCCAAAGTGTAGTACTCTGTCTCCAAAACCAAAAAGATTCAAATGGGATCAGAACTTTGCTGAAGAGGACTTGTTAGATGTGCTGCATTATTCTACGAAATCATGGTGTCGTGTAAATTTCTGGCTTACTTACGCTCGCACAATATATACTCCACTGAATTTAGGTCAAATTACATATTTTTTGTCCTCATAATTTGACTCGTTTTTCACTTTCACTTTGGAAATTTAGTCCTATGATTAGTTCGGTTAGCAATGGAGTCAAATTACATTAATTAGCCATATATTTATACGTTTACATGACTGAACTATGTCTCATGCTAATACCTTAGTACTTGGTTGCAGAGTTATAACTATATCTTCTGCTTCATTTGGGCTAATGACAAAACTGTCCAAAATGCTCTACACGTTCGAGAGGTATGTTATAATTTTGAGAATTACAATATAATTACTTTTGCTTAAGCACTTTTGCCATTACAACCTAACAGGGAACAATAAAGGGTTGGGAAAGATGCAATCAGAGCTTAGATAGCAATTATGCATATGATGTTAGAACTAGTATTGACTATCATCGAAATCTCACCAAGAAAAACCTTAGAGCACTGGTTTACAGGTACACTAATTAATATTCTTAATTTTCTCCATTTCCAAATTTTGTCTATCCGTAAGAAGTCCACGACGATTTGTGCGAAAAAACCGATGAAGTTTTCTTCTGTCTGAAATATATCAAAGTTAATTTGTAGATTTTTTTTTTGTTGGTACAGTGGTGATCATGACATGATTATTCCATATGTGGGCACTCGAGAATGGATAAAATCTCTAAATTTGAGTGTTGATTACCAATGGAGACCATGGTTTGTTAATGGCCAAGTTGCAGGGTTGGTTGCTTGCTACTATCAATTTTCATAATGTCACTGCAATTTCTTATTTAATTAATTAAATTATCTTTTTTCTAAGGTACACCAATGCATATACACTGAAAGCGTACAGTTTGACATTTGTTACTGTAAAGGCAAGAACCGAAAATCCTGCTTAATTTTTCTCAACTAGGTTTCTGAAAGAAGAAAAGATAACTAAAAGAATGGAAATTTTGTTTGACCTGTACAGGGAGGTGGCCACTCAGCTCCAGAATACAAGCCTATGGAATGTCTTGCCATGGTTGATAGGTGGTTTGCATATTACTATGTTTAATTACCTCATTCATTCCAATACTTTTGTGCCCCAAAGTCTTGGATGTTGCAGCTGGTACTGCTTTGGTGAATAAATTTCCAAGAATATTGTTCGCTTAATGAATGTTAGAGTTTTGTATAGGTTTTGAAGAAGAAGAGAAAAACAATATGCAAGAGAAAACTGAGAGCTAAGCTAAAACAAAACTTCTGTATTTTTGTATTGTATGCTCTAAAAACTTTCGGGCAAGCACAGTGTGTGCTATATGACTGTTAGAGAAATAGCTGGATTCTCTTACATCACTTGAGAATCACAGCCTTACATCCAAAACTGCCTTCTAAGATCTTTACACGTGGCTATAGCCACTTAACACTAACTGACGCCTCACACTTGCCTATTTTAGAGACTAAGTGAATACACCATTTCAGCTTAGGGACTTTAATCACACTCTCATCAGCTCACCACTTATATTTCAACA